AGTAGACTCCCTTTTGACTTAAGGGAGTCTACATTTCCAAAGTATGCTGAAAAGGAGCATCCTTAGAGAATCCATTGAGAGATATTATAAGGAGTTGTAGGAATTATGCTTATACAAAAATATGTGGGATGTCATGAAGCAGTACATTTTATACAGTATTCTAAAGAGATTCACTTATAACTTTATCCCTTTTATTGTTCTGTGATAACTCCTGTCTCTTCCCAGCAGGGGGGGCCGACACAGACCCTGACCCTGCAACCAGCCCAGCCACCCCAAGGTCAGCCCGACGGCCAGAACCAGACCACTGTAGTGGCTCAGGGCGGCCAGCAGGGGCAGCAGCAACAGCAGCAATTCCTACAGGTATCAGAAGAGGGCAGCAAATACCATCAATTCAAATATACTGTACATCTTGACAAAATATCAAGTTATCAATATGTTTCATTTAGGTGAAAAGTGTCTTTACACTGCAAGTGACTCAAATTGTGAAACTAATGTTTTGCAGAGGCTTATCATTTGAGGTCTCCCAACTTGTTGGGAGAAGAGAAAGAGGCTTTAAATTTGACTTGAAGAACTGCTTGATTGTGTAATTTTATTAGAGCAACCTTGTCAATCACAATTATTCACAATGTATATATATATTCAGTTTTTATCAGCAAAATCACTTCAGTAGAAATTGTAAGTGGAGTTTTGAAGGAACAAATTAAAAAGAGAGGATCATTAATAATAAATAAATAAAAAGGTTGGAGGCATAGGGGTCAGGGAAATTAGTAAGTTGTGTGTGAATGTGTGTATTGGTATAAGTGTGTATAATTACATTACATGTCACTTGTTAGACGCTTTTATCCAAAGCAGTACTGTGGACAATCCCCACAGGAGCAATTTGGGGTGAAGTGTCTTGCCCAGGGACACAACGACATGCTGACTGTAGTGGGACTCGAACTTGCTACCCCCTGATTCAAAGTCCAGCACTCTATCCACTGAGCTACAGCCGCCCAGAATTAATTAGGATGACATGGACACATGTATGATGTTTTCTAATCCTTGCTCTGTTCTTCTCTCAGGGCACTCGTCTTCTCCACAGTAACCAGTCCACCCAGCTGATTCTGCAGGCAGCTTTCCCACTCCAACAACAGGGCACTTTCACACAGGCAACTCACCAACAACAACAGCAACCACAGCAACCACAGCAACCACAGCAACAACAACAGCAACAACAACAACAACAACAGCAGCAGCAACGGCAGCAACAACAGCAGCAGCAGCAACAATCCCACCACCAGAGGCACCAGCAGCAGCTGAAGCCCCAGCCCCAGAAACCACAGAAAGCCCCGACGTCACACAGGACTGAGAGTGTCAGCAGCCAGCCGCAGTGAGGTCTGGAGGAGAAAACATTGGGATTTAAAACTATGAGAGAGTTGCTGCATACATTTCTATTGCTCACCTGGCTGTTGCAAACTCCCTTTCTCCCAAAAAATGTGTCGTCCCATCTTCCTCCATCTGAAAGAAATGAATCATACGAAAGAGGAGAGCCCGTGAGTCCTCAAGGAACTCACCATAGATTGTCACCATGGCAACAGGATGGATTAAAATCCACCAATTGTGAAGGAAGACCCAGTCTCCTTGGAAACCTGACAAAAATACAGAGAACACCTTATCGCCACGGTAACAACAGACTGTTTTGAAGGTGTGTCAAAGTGGACTGACTGACCTTGTAGAGATTTACTGTATGATAAAAAGAAAAACTTGTAAATATCATATATAGCCTAACAGAAAAACAGAAATGTAGTATTTTATATGATTGCATGGAAAGAAAAACTGTGTAAGCTTTTATTAGTCGCTTTTGAAAATTGAATTTTTACTTTGTTCAAGTGTTTTCTGGTCAAAGATGGAGCAATGACATGCTCTGTCGATCTTCTCCCACCCCCTTCTCGGAAAAAAAACCACGGTTCAGGATAACAAGGCTTTACAGTTCTGCAGTTTGGTTGGGCTTGGGTTTTCTTGTGGAAGTTGTGTTTTCAAAAATAGCTCTTTTTAACTTTGTAAGTACGAATTATCTTTGGCAAAAAACAAACAAGATCACAGTTTGACTGAATTCTTTGCAGAATGATCACTGTACGTATAACGGGTTTAGTGATTCCAAGTGCCAATAACATAGTCAGTAATGTTTTTTTTGTTTTTAAAGCAGACTATTCAAAGGCGTATATATATTTTCCAACAAGATATTACCCCTATTAAAGTTAATGCGTGTGTATATAGTAGGAATTATTTTTTAACAGTCAGAGAGCCCTATAAGTAACAAACGGTATATCCTCAACCTCCTGAAACTTTAGCACTTGATGTGGTTGTGTACAGTAAATCACTGTCCAGACCTAGTTGTTTATCTGTGGTGTGATTCTGTGAGCTCGTGTGTGCTTTTGGGAATACAATCTTGGTGTGCATGAGTGGGCATGAGAGTGTCTGTGGTCAGTGGGTGTGTATGAGTGTTTGTGTGTGTGTTGTGTGTGTCGTGAATGTGTTTGAGTGTGTGTGTGTGGGTGTGTGTGTGTGTGTGTGTGTCCTGTGCGCTTGTTGCCCCTTGTGTCTTACAATATTTGACTTAGTAAGGGTGAAGTTGCTGGATGGTACTTGTATTCTCAGGAATGTGGAAAGTTTTTTGCTTCTGCCTCAGTCTGGAACCAGACATGGAGGGACTAGACGTTGATGCTGCAAAGACCAGAGGAAGAAGTGTCAGTGTGAAAAGTGCGACTGGTGGCTGAGTTAAATTCGTCCCAGATCGAATTTCCTTATACAAACACAATTTAAGGGAAAAGTCTTAAAGACAGTAAGACTATCCTGCTTTCTCAGTATCTACAATGCTGACTTAACACTTTAAATGTAAGAAAAATGAATTCCTTTTCTGCTGAAAAAATATGATGGGGTAGGATTATAGAAAAATGATTTTCAGCTATTCATCCAGATTTGAATAGATTGACTTCATAGTACCAGCAAACCTGCATTTCTTCTCACTGTCTCGTGGTCTTCGGTATCATCAATGTTTCTCCTGCTATCTCTTCCTAGGCCTCAGAAACCCTCATGCAGTTCAGTTCACTCCTCTGGTAAAACAATGCTGGGCCCCATTCCATTTCCGATACATGGATGGAGGCGGGCTCAGCCCCTCAACTACAGTTGTAAGCCATATCAAACAGAAAAGCCTTGGATTGGAGGAAGTGTAATGGTTGACAGTGGAGCATTTAGAATTTGTTGTTTTGACTGTAGTTAAGACTGTGTGTGTGCGCTTGTGTGAGTATAGCGTCTCCTAATTCTTGTATCACTCGGGGGTCAGTACTGGTTTCCCCTTGCGATAGCCAATCAGTTCTTGCGTTGCAGTATAAAGAAATAATTGTAATATTCAAGAAACTTCCTCTCCGGTTGGGCCCAGCATTCTGCAAGCCCGTGTGTGGGATAGCTCAACTTGAATACATGTTTGTGTGAAAGAAAGTTAGTATGCATGTTACCTGTCACTGTAACCCGTTATATTTTCATATGGAAACAGATGTGTGACTGGGAAAAAAATGGATGTTAGGCAATGCAGATCACCTGTCAGGCTGTGAAGAAGATGGGCAGTGTTATTGTTTTACAAAGAGAGACTGCTAAACCTACACTTATAACAACAACTACACATCCGACAGGTTTCAAACGGTAACACTCTGAGATTATGTTTTTAATGTAGATTGACTATTTGTGTGACAAAGCAGGGAAAATGCTTCTCTTTACTTTGTCTACAAATAATGACTAGAAGAAAGAGATTGAAAGGGTCTTACTATTTGAACCAGGTCTTCCACCTTTCACATAACAGATATAAATCCTCTGTAGTTTGTGTTCAAGGCATCACTCTAAAGGATAATGCTGAAATATTTATAGTTTGTGTCACTAATACCCAGCCCAAAGAATGTAAAGGTGTTTTAAAGAGACTAATGGATGTTGTAACTGTTGATAATGGAGAACCTTTAGCAGGCTGAGTGATGAAGGAAAATGACTTGTGAAAGAAAATCAAGTTTCTCACTACAATGATCTACACATTTAAAAAAGAAAAACAATCTTATTGACCGGTTTTGCATTCTCAAACAACCTTATGAATGTTTCACAATTTCAATCTTTCAGTTTTTGCAACAATAATGTTCTGTTTGGAAAAAGAGTTTAAAAGGTTTTGGAAGATGAGGTGTAGGATATTGGAAATGCTCCTCACAGATACACAGATCACCTTTACACTACACAATCCAGTCCAAAAGAGTCCTAGTTCTAGTATTAAACTGTACACCTTCACAAAGCGAAGAACACCAGTATTCAGTGTAAAACGGTGCTATGCTTACCTGTACTGTATGTATGTATATCCCTTCTTCTGCTCTTGAACTGTGCTCCTTTTATCTACCTAAAAGTCAAATGTAATAATAATCTAAATTTTGAAGCAAAATGTTTGCTATTATTATAACCCCCCCTCTACCCTATTGGTCAATTTGAAAATAAAAACAGTTGCAAATATTATACGTGACACATGTCTGCTGCAATTTTGTTACGCGTGTTAGTCTGTTATTAGCAACCTTGGAGCCAGACATTAGTGGCGCCAAGGAAATACAATGTCTTAGTTTGGTCCAGACTAAAATATTTCAACAAGTATTGCAAGAATTACAAGGAATGTTTGTAAAGTGGTTCATGGTTCCCAGAGGAAGAATCTTAGTGACTTTGGTGAATGTCACTTTTTGCAATTCAAATATCGGCCATTCGTATGACACCCCCTTAGCCCTAGCTGTACTTAGTGTTGTTAAGTGCCAACAAACAAATGTTGCATGATAACATGCTCAACTCCTGATGTAAATGATTGTGCTTGCTAAACATCAGCATGTTAGCAGGCTAATGTTAGCATGCTAAAGGTATCATTTAGCTCAGAGCATCACAATGCCCACAGCAGCCTTACAGAGCTGCTTACTCATGTATTACACAATCATGAAAATGATGAAGGACACTTTTTAAGTTTCTGCCATCACAAGTACTTTCTTTATTACAAGTAATCCAACTGTATCAAAACCAGCATACTGAAACTATCCTGGCTCTCGACAATAACAGTGTCACAATCAAATGCATTCAGTATTTCACAAAAAGAACCTAAAGGCACATCTCTATTATATTTACATTGCATACATATTTGACATAAATCAAGTCAAAAGAGCAAACAGTCATAAACGCCTGGCCACAGACTAAACTAAAGCTAACCCTATAATACATACAGCAATACACCAGTTAGTCACAGTATTCAAAGCTACAACGCACAGGTGGGAGTCAGTGTTTCTGTGACTTATGGTAACTTTATGTTGTTTTTTAGGAGTTATCGCTTGCATGCCACCTCACTATGGCTTATTTGTTATATTGTAAAAGAGGCTTCAGGTACTATAAGGCATCTTTTGTCTTTCAAGCCCCATTAAAACCAGTTTTAAGTAAGGCTTGCAGACAACAACTCAAGTTAATCTAGTGACTCTAACAGTAAATTAATAAGACTTTTAAGAGTTTGGGAAAATACACTATTTGCTTTCTTGCAGAGGGCTGGATTATAACAATTAAGTTTGCAGGTGGAGCCAGCAGCCATTTAGTGTAGCGCATTAAGACTGATGACATGAGGAAACTGCTAACCTTGCTCTTGTACATATACAAGAAGTAGACATGTGCATAAGCACAACTCTTAAGAAAAGAAAGAAAAAATTGAAATAAGGTTGCCAGCAGGTTCTCCTGGAAACCACTGCTCCCTACAAGAGTGCTGTATTTCTTTATATTACCCAAACTGACAAAAATATTCCTGTAAAAACGTAGAGACAAAATAAATTCCACCGATCACTTCACTAACTGTGCTTATCTTTTCCTCAGTCAAAGGTCTCTGTGTTCCCCAAAGCATTTAAATATGCAATCTAAGGCTGAATGTGAGCCAAACTCCTGCCGCTGCTGATGGGGATGTTGTTTGGATCTGGTGGCGGTTAACGCTGGAGTCTGCTTTATATAGACGTGCACCTGATATACCTACCGCAGAGATCAATACAGCAATGGGAGATTAGATAGAGGACAATACTGAGAGACCAGGGCAAGGTCATATATACAGTGTGTGTGTGTGGTGTGTGTTGTGTGTGCGTGGTGTGTGTTGTGTGTGCGTGTGTAATGCAGGAAGTCCAGTGTTTGACAGTTAGTTTGAGTGTGTTGTTATTAGTTTACATACAGAGTGCATTTGGCTCTTGTGAGGTGACAATGATCAGGGAGGTGGGGGGGGAGGGGGTTGTAAGTTTGATAGCAGTGTTTATATGCATACGTCAGTGTGTGTTTGTTTGTGTCTGTGTGTCAGACATAGTCCATGAAGACGTCAGCCGTGCTTTGCAGTAGAGGTTGGGTGGGAGCTGTGGTGCTGCAGACGGAGCTCAGCCGCCGCGTTGGCGCCCTCTCCTGCGCGGGATGACCTGGAGCGTTGCTCAGTCTCAGGTACACCTAAGAAACAACACACATTTCAGGCTTATGGCGGCTCTGATGATACTACTTTTTTACAACAACAAAAACATTTGGTTTAATGAGAAATGTCGAATGACGAAGGTCCATAAATAGCATAATTATGATCAATCTCAATCTTTCTCCTGGCTTTTAATTCAGGCTTTCTGTTTTTTTTTTTTTATCCTTAAACCAACATTGAGATTTCCCCTATGTTTTGAAGGATAAAAAATGACATGTCTGTGATTTATGGTTCCTTTTACTCACATTCCTGGTATTTTCTGACAGCAGCAGCTCAGTCCTCTCCACCAGTTTCCTGAAGGAAGGCCTCTTCAAAGGATCGTGGCTCCAACAAGACAACATCATGTCATACCTTCAGAGGTGAGGCTGACATTAGTTTCTACATACAAGAACTAAAATAATCCAGCAAAGCGAAAACAAAGATTTTACATTTTATGTTTCTATTCATACAATGGATAAATCATTGTGCGTTTATTATTGTCTGTGAAATGTTTTGAATCGATTAGCTGATTGTCAGAAATGAATTCGCAACTATTTTGACTTATAATTTCGTTAAGTCATTTTGAAGGCATGACGGTTTGGTTTCAGCTCCTCCAAATTGAGGATTAGCCACTTTTTTTTTATTTTGATGCCTATGTAAAATACATATATTTTTATTGTTGGACTGTTGATTGAACAAAACGATACATTTGATAATGTCACATTGCTCCTTTTTCAATGTTTTCTAGCATTTCAAAGGTAAACTATTCAATTGAAATAAATGATTGATCATTAGTTGATGCACTGTTTATAACACTCACTCTCACAGACACATGCTTTCTTGTTTCTGCAAACACACACACTTACATCTCAATGGGAGCAAACTCAGGCCTGCTCATCCTTTTTCCATCTTGAATCATCTTGTAAAATACTGAGCCCACCTGCATCCCAGGATACGGACTGTTACCTGTAAAACAAACAGTATGCACGCACTTTAAATAACATGGTTTCATTCACGCCTCAGATTTCCATGACAAGAAATAATAGATTCATACAATGGTACTGGTTTCTGGAGCAACATTGTTACACAGATAATATGATTTTGTGTGCTTCACCCGGTTAAGTGATGTTGCTGCTCGGGAGCATCATTAGAGCCTGTAATAGGGCCCCAGTCAGCTCGAATGGATGGTAATAACGGCCTAGACATTATGAAACAGATGCAACAGTGCAGCTCTAACTGGAAATGTTACCCAGAGAGAAGATTTCCCAGAGGAGGATGCCGTAGGACCACACGTCACTCTCATAGGTGTAGACGCAGTCGAAGAGGCTTTCAGGAGACATCCACTTCACCGGCAGACGAGCCTGCAGGAGGGAGCGCCATGATTACAAAAGCAGTATGTTTACCTGTCTTTCAATCCAAGAAACATTTAGCTTTTCTCTGGAATTGTTAATCTCTTTTGAACTTTTAGAGATCCCTTAAGAAAACATAAATTCAAGAGAAAGAAATTGCAGGAGAAAATAAGAAAGAAAGGAGTGAAGGAAAAAGGGTAGAAAGGAAGGGAGGCAGAAGAAGATTCAGAGATAAAAAGTGACAGACTCACATTGCCCCGGAGCACATAGCTGGCATCAGTCGTGATGTCTCGTGCCAACCCAAAGTCACAGATCTTAGCCACCCTGCCGTGAGTCAGCAAAATGTTTCTGGCTGCAAGATCCCTGTGGACACACTACACAAACAAACAAACACGTACACACACACAAACACGTACACACACACACACACACACACACACACACACACACACACACACACACACACACACACACACACACACACACACACACACACACACACACACACACACACACACACACACACACACACACACACACACACACACACACACACACACACACACACACACACACACACACACACACACACACACACAAATTAGTTTTAACATTGTAACAGGTTTCTGCGGTGAATGACTGACACACAGCACACATTTACTAATGAGTCGCGGCGAGTAAAACTTGTCACAAACCTCAGAAACACAAATGGCAAATTGACAATCTTTACGCAATTACAGTCTGCAAGAATAATGAACATACAGTGTCTAATTCAAATAAAGCAACACAATTATGATGAGAGAAGCTGAATCAGGAGAACAAGATTTTTTATACAGAATCTAAAGTACTTGAGTCGGAGCTTATTTACAGGAGTGACAAAGCTTTGTGTGTGGAGTACATGATGTAATGTAAATGCACCTTCAGATTGTGCATTATTGTAGCTGACAGCAGTGCACAAAGCAGGTTGGCCCTGAGCCAAAGTGATTTATAAACTAGCAGCAGCAGTTTTAAATCTCTTCTGTAACGACCCTGTAAATAAGCACATGGGCTGTAACAGCCTTACGTTCTTGGAAGTAATGTACTCCATTCCCTTGGCCACTTGGTAGGAAAAGCTGAGGAGATCTTCGGCATCCAGAGACAGCTCCTCGATATCCGCTAGATAAAGATCACACTGTCAAACTTCCACAGGCGCTAAGAGTGATATTTTATGTGTGATAAGAAATGTAGAGTGAGAGACTTCCTACCTGACTGGGAAGACCTTTCTTTCTCCGAGGGACGCATGGTCACATATTCTGTACCAATCACCTCTCCACTGCACACAAACACACACACACAAATATTACATGTTGACACAGAAACCATTAAGCATTTGCAATCACAATTTTAATACCAACACACACACACACACACACACACACACACACACACACACACACACACACACACACACACACACACACACACACACACACACACACACACACACACACACACACACACACACACACACACACACACACACACACACACACACACACACACACACACACACACACACACACACACACCTTGCTTTAGGCTCTGTTTGGTTCGAGACGTTGCGATAGTAACCATCACCAACTTGGGAGTTGAGGAAGGGCTCTCTTTTTCTGCGCAGGAAGTTAAGGAGGTCGCCATAGCAACAGTACTCTGTGATCACCAAAATCGGGCCTGGCAAAGATAAAAAAAGAAATCTCACTCGCTGATTTTAAAACCATAAGACATCACATAACAATGAACAAAGAACTTAAGCAAAGAGCCAACAATAAGTGTGTCATGTGACAGGTTTGAACAATGTGTGTGTGTTGAAAAGCATTTATCATTATGCTGGTGTTGAAACATATTGGGAAATACGTGTCAATGGGATTTTTCAAGTCCATGTGTTTACTTCCTTTTACGCACTTATGCATACTTGTGTGTGAATCCAGTCTTAATGCTGCATAATGATCAATGTTTAGGTCTAGACAGACCCTGATCCACTGCATCATAAACTTGTCAGTAAATATGCTGCACGTTTTCATATTGGAGTCAATGATACTGACTCTCCAATATATGAGGCCAATATTGTCTGGGAAAACAGCTAGTCAGCATATCAATCAAAAACAATACCATAAATCATACAATAAATATCTTATAATCATGTGAAAGCAAGAGGCTTTTAGCGTCCACACCCAACAAAAAACAGAACCAAATTAAGCCCAACATCTCTCTCACCTCCGACGGTGCAGGCCCCCAGCAGGTTCACAATGTTCACGTGGTTTCCAAGGTAACTGAGCACCTTCAGCTCTGACATCAGCGCCTCTTTCTCCGTAGCATGAGCGTTGGCTGCGATGACATCATCAGGACATTTATTACCTCTTACAGCGTCTCATGTGTTTCTACAACACGCATCGGCAAGCTGTGTCTGAAATGACTCCCTATTTATTACTTAGTGCTCTGTTGTTACTGTCCACCGATTTATTTGAGTGTCTGGGAAATATATAAAGTAATATCATTTATATTTATTATTCATATAAATGTAAACCATCTAGCAAATAATGAATTATAAATCTATTGGTCATCATGATATTCATAATGATGCTAGTATACTAAAACATTTTACAAATAAATCACTTCTGATGATTGTTATTAGTTAAAACATGGTCCTTAATACTGCATTATTCAACATTTATGACCACCCGCTCTAGAGTCTATTAAGGAGAGTTATCTTGTTAATAAAAAATGTGTAAGTGACAGATGACACTGACACACACACACACACACACACACACACGCACACGCACACACTTACGTTTCAGCATCTTAACAGCGACGGTTGTCACAGTATCTGCAGAGCAGAGTCCGTACGCTGTGGCCCTCACTACCTTTCCGAAAGCCCCAGAGCCCAGAGTTTTACCTGTGGGAACATCTACATTTTCCCTTATTCAGCAAGAAATTATAATTTTACACTCACATAATTTTGGACAGTGGAACTCAAACATCCAATTCAAGTATCAATAACAAGAAGTAATTCTAGGATATCATACCGAAGCGTAATTTCTGTCGAGGAAACTCCCATTTGGAGTCATATGGCAGCTGGGTGGGGTCAATATATATGTAGTTGTTGCCATGGATACTCTCAATGACCTTCCACTGGATTTGAAACTTTGGTTTCTGGTAAAGTTTGAAAAGAGAAAGTCATTATATTTAATGTTATATTACTCAATGCACTTCAGTTGTCAACTCAAGTCAGAACTGATGATCCCACTGTGAATTCATAACCTCGTTCTCAAGTAGTCTGACTCATCTGAGTGCGAAAAGAGCAGCATGCACATTAATGGCATCATCGCAGTGTCAAAAAAGCCTTTAACTTCAGCATGTCTGCACTCTCAATGGCTGATAGGATCATTTCAATTTCATTACAGCACATTCATATTGATTAAAAGGACACTCTTATCTGCTGAATACCGTTACCAAAAGCAGAAAAAAGTAGTCTGATTTAAGAAATCTTCTTCTATCCTTAAAATACAATACTCAAGATGGAGGAATGAGTCATTAATAAATGGGAGTTGGCCTTTTGCCAGAAACCAACAGCCAGTTATTTTTCTGTGTTGAAAACTGCATCTCAATGATGAACTTGATCTCACATTGAAGTTGGAGAATTTTAAACAGGGTGAAAACAAGGTTCTGATTGATGGCAATATATTTACTTCACATATGAGAGATTTATGACCCTCTCGCACTCAGATTAAATACTATTTCTTCATTGCAGTAATGGTATTGTAATGCATGATTTATGTTCTGTTTTACCTGCATGTATTTATAGAGCAGCACCACGAGAATGAGGCTGAGGAAGACGCCAGTGGCCACCATGCCGGTCAGAAGAGGAGTGAAGAGTTTATGGGGGACGATTCGTTCTGAGAGGAAACACACACCAGAGTAATTAGACAAAGGTATATGTTTTACTGCAAGTACAGGTTCAGTTTATACACAAACCAGTTAAAATACTAATACATACAAAAGGTGACATAATTCCTGATTCATCTCGTTCTTTACTTTAACATTCCTGGTTGAAATGTACTCTGTGGATGAGTGGGCTCTGGGGGGATATGAAGGGCCAGAAGGGGTCAATGTGAGAGTGTGGAGGAATGAATAAATTAAGAAATAGAGAAACGAGCAAAACGAGCGAAAGACAAAAGAGCAGCACACTTGAAAAAATAATAAGGGAAATTACTAGGTGAAATGGAGAAAATCTAATTTCTGTTTCTGTTAAATTGATTTAAGATTGTTGGTTTTTATTTATGACCAAATGCCTCAACATCAATATTTTCTTGAGAATAAAACCCTGCACTCCAATGAAAGGTATAAGAAAATTCATGATAAGGTAGGGTTGAACATTGGTGTTATCAACAAATATTTACACAATTAGATTTCTGATAAAATAATCAGCAGTAATTTCGCTTGAATAACAAAGTAACAGCACAACTAGAATATTCTTTATAAACTAGGAAAATACATTTATGTGTTAATTTAAATATATTATTATGTTTTATATCATAATATCATAGACTGTATAAATAAATGGATATGTTGCCCAACCTTAGGAATGGTTGTAAACATAGTGATTTAACTTTATGATATACTGTTGTGCCCTACTGAAAAATACAAATAATATTACATCATATACATTAGTTGAAGTACATATATAAGACATGATGGAGATACTGTATGTACATTGGGATCCCCTGATAGGAACTTGAGAATAGTGGCACAAACACTAATCAGATGTATATGTTTGACAGCTGCTGCAGCAGTGGTGTTTGTTTCTGTGACAAGGATTAGTGAGTCACACTTTATAATCCCAACCCGCACAGTCATAATACACTAATCCTGTTCAATCTGTATCCAGTAAAAACACAACTCTGCTGACCTAGGGGCAATGGGTATAGTTTATATATTCATAAATATATACATATATAGGTTTGTGTGTGTTTGTGTCGTACCACTGATGGAGAACAGTGTGTAGGCCTCCTCCCCCTCCTCCGTAGTAGCCACACACTCCAGGGTGTGATAGTGTGTGTGCTCCTTGCTCACGTTCAGACGGCTAACAACCTCGCTCCTGCCAAAGACAGACTCTGTCACCATGGCGACATCCAGGGACTCCCATTGGGTGGCATTGGGCAGGTGTGAGCACCTGTTCAGGGGTTGACACAATGATAAAGTAATTTCAACCTTGGTCATTCACAGCAACTGTACTTTTTATTACGTCTTATAATAAACCCTACTGTTAGCCTATACAATGTAAAATAACGAGTCAAGTGCCTGTTTTAACAGAGCTCTAAATGTCTTATATTGCTGATATTGTGATGACCATGAGTCGAAACCCTTTTTGGTTTGAATGCTAATGAGAGTATATAATGACATAAAGCAACTTCTTCAGCTCCCATGATCCTCTCTTTCTCTCAGAGGAACTGCCAGACCAAACAACAGAAGGTGTTGGAGATAATGGTGAGGAAAATGGTCTGAAGTCGCACTGCTGTTCGGTTACAGCTTTTAATATGAGAAGCATAAAAGCCAAGGAGTCCAAAGTTCTGAATTATATATGAATAGGTTAATTTAAATGCATTGACATAATGTTCTTCTTATATTATTGTTTATGACATTATTTACATGGAGAATGTAAAATGAGGTTATAACACCCAATGTGACGCAGTGATTCATCACTAACAATGCTTATTTTGAACCAATTCTGATTACATGATAACTTTGTACAACTCTTCTCATCTGTTTCTTCTTTGTACATTTACAAGATCACCCTTTTAACATCTCGTTGTGTAAAAGACAGTCGTATTACATTCAAGATATCAAAGGTTAACACCCAGCTCATGCTAAATCAATAGTGGTGTATAACTCATATTCCTATCTATTAAAAAAAGGTGACACAAACACTTTTTGGATGAAAGTAGTGCAATATATTTGAGGTATACCTCGTGTGGGGCAGCTCACAGAAGTACCAGCTGATTTTAGGGACTGGGTAACCAGAGGCCACGCAGCGCACCTGTCCATCAACAGGGCCTTCCTGGGCGATGATAATCGGCTTGCCTTGTAGAGAAAGACATGGGCAGATTGAAAGTAAAAATACACATATTTAACATAGAAACATGAGTGTTAAAGTGAAGGCCACTTACTGTTGACGTACACATGAAACGGATGATTTACAGATGCGTCCTCATGGCTCGCTGAGAACTTATAGATCCCACCCTCCGAGCCGAGGACCCTCACCAGTCTGAGCTCGCTGATGAGTCTGATAATACAAACATTACTTTCCAAATGTGTACATGCACAGGTAATTGCAGTGAAATACATATTTAAACTTGCTGTACCTGTATTTGCGGCGATGTATGGTAATGACGTGCTCTGTGGTGTTGAGGAGCCGCTTGCCGTTGTAAGACCAGGACAGGGAGCGCGGAGCGGGATAGGCACTGAGTTCGACTCTGAGGCTCAGGCTCTCCCCCTCTTTGACATCAGCCTGCACTGGAGCTGGGCTGCCTAACATGGTTATGAAGCCCTGATCTGAAGAGCATCAGAAAATTAGCTCACCTAAAACTGTGGTTAAGGCCTGGGATATTGAACATAGATATATTAGCTACGAATGAATACATAACAACTTTATAAATCCACAAAGACAATTTGATTTTAGGCATAAATAAGACAGACAGGAAACAGGCGGACAATTAAAAGTAAAATGCTGTAGCTAGATCCATGTTTTATTGTTATTTATTGAGGGACATTTCACTGAGAGCCAAACTCTTTTTTTCCCAGGTAGGCCCAGTATAATAAGATAATATTTTATTTGTGATTGCTCATGTAAATTAGACTTTATGAACAGAACAAATCCACGGAGTAAAACAAAACATTGTTTGAGGTCTGGCAAGTGTGTTGCTTACCTCCAGACATTCTCACTGGTTTATAACAATATCACACTTTGAACAATGATAGCTCTTTCCACCAGGGCTAAGTTGTCTACATATTAATTTATATACTTTGGAGAAAAAAAACATTTTATTCGGCTAATTTAAACTTAAGTATGTGTGCATAGCACGTCAGACTTGCTGCAAGACGTGCTATGCTAACCTTAAACTTTTAAAGTCCATGTCTAACCCTAACATTCTGGTAAATGTTTAAAAAATGGAGGGTTACCATCTAGACACAAACACCTTCCTCTGTTCGGGAGAATGTTTTGTAAAAACTCACCTTGGACATCCAGTTGCAGCGCGGTGGCACTGGTGCCTCTCTCGTTGTGGGCATGGCAGTGGTAAGTGCCCGAGTCGGATTTGCTGACATCCGTGATCAATAGTGTGGTGACACGTTCGACACCGTGGAAACCAGACAGGATGTGTGAGGATTGGAATTCCATGGGATGCTGCAAGGTGAGCATTTTAAACAGCTGACTTAACATTCACGAAAAACTATGGTTGATGCCGTGATTATAAAAATACTTCCGCTACAACCCAAACTCAATAACATTAGCAAAGTATTTAAAGAAATCATAAAACTCATACGTAAGTCTTCTCTGCACTCACTGGCATGTTTATTATGACTATTGCCAAAATAGTTGTATTCTTATAAAATACTGAGTGTAAGAAATATTACAATCTGTCATACAAAACCCAACATGTGTCAAATGTGAACTAATATTTGCATCACAAAACCTGCTAAATCCCTGAAATTATTAAGGATGTCCTCAATGGTAGCTACAGCCCTGATAAAAATGCAAATGTTTGGCTGTTTCTTGTATTGGTAAGGGTAAAGCAGGGGTCTCCTACATTGTTCAAGTCAAGGACTCCTTAGCAACAAATACAGAATATACCACTATATATATTGCAAAAAGACTTTTAAAAAAAAACAGTCCGCCAGATATAAACACACTAACTCTCACATCCTGGCAGTTAGTCACCCGGACATAGAGACTGAGGAGAAGCAGTCAATCTCTTCATCAATCTCACCGCTGTGGAGGGGAAATCCCACTTGACACTGAAGTCCGTGTTGACGTTAGAGGAACTACAGGTGATCTTGAACTCGTCTCCTTTTCTCAGGATAACAGGGTCTTTGTGAGACAGCGTGATCACCGGAGGCACCTCTGGCACTGGATCAAAAGATGCAAAACCAGAATTAGCATGAATCATATATAATTGATTAACATTCACTATTGGTTGCCAGTCTGAAATACATATCTTTACAAAAACTCCTGTTTGCTTAGTGTCAGGGAATGCATCGATCAGTGGACAAACACTCACTAAATACAATGCAAACAGTATAATATTTGCATAAGCGTACGCTTGTGTGCGTATAACCCGGATGATTAATCTCCAACATTATATGCCTACTGACTTCACTTTGATAGCTGTGTTTGACAAGAAGTGAGGTGGTTTTATTTACCCCAAACACAGCCTTCATGCACCGTTACAAAGCTTTGTTCAGTGTGGGAATGTAATCCCTCTGCTCCTCCCTTCTTTCACCTCACTCACCTCTCTCCTCTCAATACCTCTCTCCACCTCTCTCCATCAGTGAAAAGGACATTACGCCCCGGCCCCTCCCGTCTTGTTTATGTTTAGACATCTTTGCACTGCAGACGAGGCTAACAATGCTGATTCAGTGCAGGGATATATAGAAACATGATCCGCTTGCACTGACGTATAATGCTCTTATGGTTCATTTTCTATTTATATAGAAGATACGAGAAAAATGGTCTCTTGCCAAAACACATCTGCAATGTGGAAATTTGCTGTGTCTACCGTTAATCTTGGCCAGGATGCATTAAGATCTCTTATGAATATGTTAGCCATGTTGCTGGTCTGTCTAGCCACCACTTTGGTCCAGACTGAAATATCACAAGTCCTTTTGGATGAAGTACAATGACATTTTGGTGATCAATTAAATGTTCTAAATACTTTGGTTTATGACCAAACCCCATCAAAAATAAATGACATGTCCACTCTTTACTTTACTGCTAGTTAGCAATGAGCATGCTAACAGAAGTAAGATGGGGAACTTTATAAACATTGTACCTATTGACCATCATTAAATCCATATTCTATGTTTTTGTTTCATGCTTATGGATCAAAATCAGTACACCAAAGTCCTACTTTCCAATAAACCAGTTTCCTGTGTTTTAGTCCTCCATTGCGAAGATCAACAAGCCAACATCAGGTATATTTTTCCATTTCTTAACTAATATGATGATAGGTCTTTTGAAATCAGAATAAGAAAGTCCTCTTAATATTGTAAGCTGTTTTTCCTCACATGTCTCAGTCCAAGCTTTGTTAGAAAAAAGTAGCTGTATTATTCAAGGTTCTCTACCTTTATTTAGACTTTATTATTCCCCAAGGGTTAATTCATTTAAACAGCACAGTACGCATCAGAAAACAAACAAGCCAAAGCACACATTAACAACATTCATTGACGGGCAGTGACAACTTTAAGCTGTTTACTTCACTGTTTACTTTGACACAAGGATTGGGATTGCCATTTAGGGTTAGGAAGTCAGCTTCCAATAATTTAGCTTCACCTACTGACTACTGGCATTACTGTGAGGCTACAACAAGGTTAACTTAATGATCCATTATACAAGCTAGCATCTTTTACACTGACTTTATTAATCTGCTCTCACATTTGTATAAAGATGACAGGACCTTACTTCTTTCCTGTCAGCTGCACATACAGCATTCACACTATAACTCATTTAACCCTTTTAACCTTAATTATCACCCAAATCACAAATCTAGTAAAGCTATGCCACAAAGAGAACCACTAAAAACAGGTATAGATTTGTAACAAGTGACAAGAATATCACAAACAGCCTCCATCATATCTCTCACTTACCAAGTCGTACATCAACAGTGTATTGGATGGACGTCACTTTGGCTCCATCAAGCTGCCCCACACATACGAAGCAACCATCATATTCCTTTCTCACGTTGCTGATAATGACACCTCGCTGGTGGTTGCTGTGGTAGCTCATACCAGAGGGCAAAGGTCCTCCGTCGCACATCTCCAGAGCTAGGAGGGTGACTTCAGGGTCGGTCACAAGACAGGGGAGGGTGCAGTTTTCACCTTCTCGCACCAGGATGACGTTCACCATGGTGCGCTGGAAGGCATTCTGGGGGTCTGAGGAGATGAAAGGGAGATTTGGATTAATCAATGTTTTTAGAGGGATACACAATCACATGCCTCTCCCCCCTCAATCTCCAATACAGACCTTTCACATATACATAAACGGAGCTGTGTTCCAGTGTGCTGTTGTTTATGCACACATAACGACCCATGTGGTAGGCCTGCGCTGCTGACACCCTGACATAGGTCGTTCTGCCCTCCTCCACCTCTCCCTCCAGCCGGCGAGCACGCTCCCTCTGCCACCTCAACCTGGACGGGGCACCAGACATCGTGGCATTGTCATGGCAACTCAGCTCCAGCTTCCCCCTCTTGGGAACAACAATGTGAGGTCCACTAGGGGAGATGACTGGCTGGCACCACGCTGAAACAAACACATATATAATGGTTGACGTCTGCTGGAGTAAAGAGCCAACACAAAGGCAAATAAACTGCTGCTTTCAGCAACACTGATGTTGATGAAGGGCTAGCTATGGGAAGGGTAAAGTAAAGTACCAGACCTTTTAAAGTAAAAGTAGTAATACCACAGTGTATAAATACTTTCTTTTCAGTAAAAGTCCTGCATTCAAAATTCAACTTGTGTAAAATATACAAGTTTTAGCATCAACATGTAGGAAAAAGAAATACAAATAATCATTCTGCACAATGACCCATTACAAAACAATGTAAGTTATAATTGAATTATATTTAGTGATGCCTTCATGTGATCATTATACTATATACATTTCATAAAGGGACCAATACAGTTTTATCTTAACCTATAACAACAAATGATAACAAATCTTTAAGGATATTTTGTATTATTAATCTGAATCTGAAAATTCAAAGCACCTAAGTTATTAAATAAGTCAAACATACACAATTTGTTCAGAGTACAAGTATAAAGGAGCAGGAAATGGTAAAGTAAAGTTAAAATAGGCTACCTCAAAAAAGTACTTCGTATGTATGTATTTATTTAGTTACTCTCAGTTGTACCCAGAACCACGACAGATAGCTTTCATAACCCATGAGTTTTATATTATTTTATGTATTTATCCATTAATTATACCACCACAGTTTCTTAAAACCTAAGATGTTCACAGTGTGATGGTTAAATGGGATGTTATGATTGGCACAGTGCCCCTAAAGACAGAGCGCTATCAAACCACCATGGCTCAATTGAACAATCAATAATTATGACCTGTCTACCCGCTGAGTAATCATGCATTAAGAGCCCTATATCCACTCCCCTAATACGAGTAAACTGACCTAACATCTTATATTTACTTTAACCCCACCAGCCAACCCCCTTCAACTTTTTCTTCCCTTTTTTCCAGTATGTTTTTGCAGATTTCCACATGATAGGCGCCATTTCAGGATTTTCATGTGACTGTTGTGCCTTCAGGCCTGGCAGCAGGGGTTGATAAGGCAAGAAGCATGTGTGCAGAAAGACTTCCCTTTAAAATAACATCAATATCTGTGTTTTTGCAGGCTCTAAGTGCATGTTTTGTAGCTGTTATCTTAAGAGTGTGTGCCTCGCAGAGTTGGTCTTTGAGTAAGTATAAGGTTTCAAACAATCATGAGGCTGTGTGACTAAACACAAAGCTATCACCACAGCAGCTAGAGCGGTTCAAAGTCAAGGTGCTGCTGGGTGTGGTTTTTGTTAAAAGATGTGTTTCTGGCTATTCTTTGTTCATTGTGCCATGCCAAGGCGTACAACCTAATCCTTTTTATTTCGGTTTGATAAATAATTAATCGTCCTCAAACAAACACACGCACCTGTTGCCTGCTGGGAAAGGCATCTCCTACGTAGGCCTACCTCTCAAACGGTAGTATGCAAATGATATGATCTTGAGACATGAGCTGACAGGATGATCACCCTGAACCGTTAAACTACACTTGTGTTTGTTTTACATCAACCACCTTTCCAGAAACATTGAGGACACGGCACCAGATTCAGTATCAGGATCATGGAAGAGAAGCTGCGCAATACATGCAGACTTTTACTTCTGTCCACACCTGAATTAGTCCAATTAAGTGCGAAACGACCTTAAATAGTGACAAACAGGTGGAGAAATACACTTGAGTCCGAACAACACTTGAGTGATCTGAAAAGACAAAGACTAACACAAATGCTATATAGTTTGTAATTTTACGCATAAAGTAGCCTACGACTATTTTAAACTCTTCACTAAAGACATAGCCTTCTCTAACGTGCTTTGGAAGAGGAAAACGTGATTTATGAAACTAGTGTGAGGTGAAGAGATTAAACGAGGTCACTTTAAAGTTATACATCAAGAAAACACCAAGTCCCCATGAAGCAATATTTAAGCAAGATTTCAATGGTTTTCTTACCTGTTAGTGGCAGCAAAACAAAATGTGAGGCAAATAGAACCCAATGGCATCTCATGATTGGGCGGGTTTGAAGCCTTTTACTCTACTCCATGCGTTTCAAGTGCAGGAATAACCATCCTGGGCTTTAAAAAACAACAGATCACACGCACACTGAGCAGATCCCTCCACAGCACTGGACGCACTAACACAATAATGATCGTGTGTGCTGAGACTCCCCCCGCTGGATCTCACTGGAGCTTAAAGACACAGCGCCTCTCCTCCCTGCTCTGGATCCGTGCCACTCCTTTCTGTCCCGCATTGGCTGGACCCGGGCCAAGGTGATGAGTCGGTTATTACCGGAAAGAAAAAACACGCGCCTATATCCAAGACATCTAAACCGTTTTTTGCAGTCATTGCAAGAAAATGAATGGCAAGGAACTCCCCAGTAATGGAAAAAAGAGGCTGAAACACAAATTATTATTTTCAATAAGATGACTGTAAATGTTTATCTCGGACATTAGTATAATTCTGGTGACAGCCTTTCCTTGGGCTCCTGTCCTTATATGACAGTTCTCACTCGGCAGGAGTTCCCCTTTATATCCTCATTCATTTTCTGATGCACTTAACTGTCTCACGTTTCCCAGCTCTAATTGGTATGACTGTATTTTCCCAGATTTAATCAACTTCATAACCCACAATGGCCTTAATTTAAAAGTCATGATGTTGTGGTGTGGAAGCAAAACCAAACATTTCCAAGCCCACATACTAGGCTACCTAAAGCTCAATAATAATAAGGCCTACATGTTTTGGACAGTTTAATAGGCTTTTGCATGTAAAGATTCGAAATATGGCGAAGAAACATTAAAGAGAATGAGATTCATTCATTCTATTTCTAAGCAAAAATAACAAATTTCAGAGAAACACATTGCATTTATTATCAGAGCCTCCTGGTGGCTGAGAAACCATTTATTTCACTTAATGCCTCAGGACCAGAGCTGCCTTTAAGTGTGTGCTTGTGTGTTGCATGGGTTTGGTTAGGAGGAGATTATGTGTGTTTGTATCTATTGGTCTGTCTGTGTGTGTGTGTGTGTGTGTGTGTGTGTGTGTGTGTGTGTGTGTGTGTGTGTGTGTGTGTGTGTGTGTGTGTGTGTGTGTGTGTGTGTGTGTGTGTGTTTCCTGTTGCTCTAGGAAAAGAGAACACTGGGACTGTTGTGTTTTTTTTCTTATCCACATGATTAATCTCAAACCTCACAGCTTCGCCCCACTTCAATTACGCCTTTCTCAGCACATGATGGCAGGAGGAGGCCAAACAAACGAGAACAGAAGCAGAACTACATTTTAATTTAATTTTGCACTTAATTAGTTTGTTTTTGCAGTATAACTCTTCGGAAAATATGACATGTAATGGTTTCAGTTAGAATTTCACCAGAAAAAAGCTTTGGTGGTGATCAAACTCTCATAACAGACACCCATTCAGACCAAGCCTTTGGCCTTTTGAAAGGTTTGTCTTCCTGCTGTATGTGCAAAGAGCTGCTTTTTAATAAAGATAAGTGGAACCAAAGTCCAGTTGCATCCTGTCTTGGGTCATCGTCCTACTGTATAGCACCGTGTTTCCAGTGACATTTTGCTGAGTTAACAGATGTTTAGGGGCTGTTTAAAACTGGGTTCAACACAAGAGGGAGGCAAGGAGGGTCTTGATGGATGAACTTGGGGTGAGAGAGGGCAGTCGCATCCCAACCATGTGCTTGACAAAGACGTTTTTGCACACAGTGAGGCCTCAAAGCAGTTCTACACATTTGCACCACAAATAGTTTTTTAACCCAAAATTGGGAGACACATCTAATTTAAAGGACATGCGGTCTGAGAGCTTTAAGATATTGGTCTTTGCCTCAGTGAAATGAGCATTTGTAACTATATTTTGTTTAAGGGTGTTTTGACTTTGTGTGTCGGTATGAAGAATACAAAAAAATAATTAATTAATAGCTTAGCAAAGAGACTGGAAAGAGGAGGAAACAGCCATTAGCAAACCAAGAAACAGTTAGTTGTGCTATTTTACTTTTACGTTTGTGAGGGAATCAAACAAACAAATTATAACATTTTAATTGGTTAACTTTAGATGCAATGTATTCCACTAGGAAAGGCTAGCTATTTCCT